CTATATCTTGACATGGTAGCTAAAAAATGTATACATATGTAAAAACTCATTCAGCTGCACAAAAAATTGTGCCCTTTTCTGTATATAAGTTATATCTCAATAAAACAGTTAAAAAATAGATAAGGGGAAGGAAATTTTGAATTTAGCTGTTTAGTTCCAAAGATCCTTTCATTCCACTACACAGCCTTTCTGCAATTTTTCCAGTGTTTTTAAACACACAATTTTACCCATTTTTGCGCAAAAAAGTTCATAATAAACTATTGCAAGTAAATTCATATAGTGGAAATTGCAGAGTATAGCAGGCTGGTCATGAAATAATGAAGTAGTAAGTTGGGACTAAATTATAAAGAGTTTTATGAATCTCTTAAAAGCAAAGGGTATGGATTTTATTTATATGGGGAATATTTGAAGGATTTATATTAAAAATTTTATAACCATATTAGCTGTTGTGGGTAAAATGGATTAGAAAAGAATAAAGGGAGGAACAAAGAGAAAGTTAGGAGGCTGTTGCTGATAGGTCTTGGATTGATTATGACAGTGTGGTTGGTAGATGAATAAAGATATATTAAGGGAGAACTGAATGAGTCTGTGTGGTCAATTGGATGTGGGTGATGAGGGGCAGATAGGAGCTGACTGTAGTGGCCGGGTGAACTCATACATATTGAACAGGTCCTATTCAAACACCAGGAAAACAGGGACAAAGTATATTGCTCTGGGGAGAAACTAATGTTAGGCAGGGTATCAGGATTCTAGCCAAGTGATTTGGGATTCAGGGAAGGTTTCTAGTCCTTGTAAAAAAAATTAGAATGTTGTTATAGGCTGAATTGTGTCCCAGAAAATTCATATGTTGAAGTTCTGAGCCTACTGCCTGAGATTGTGACTATTGGAGATAGTGTCTTTAAAGAGGTAATTAAGTTAAAATGAGGTCATGAAGGTAGGCCCCTAATCCAATATGAGTTGTCTCCTTTTTTTAAGAAAAAAGGAAATTTGGACATAGACACAGACAGAAAGAAGACCATATGAAGAGACAGGGAGAAGATGGCTATCTACATGTCAAGGAGAGAGAACCTCAGAAGAAACCAAACCTACAGACACCTTGATCTTGGACTTCTAGCCTCCAGTTGTGAGAAGGTAAATTTCTGTTGTTTAAGCAAACAAGTCTGTGGTACTTCATTATGGCAGACCTAGCAAACTAATATGTGTCCACTTAAGCCCATTCAAATCAGAGAGGGTGTATGGGTGTAGGAGCTAAATTATGCAGCTCAGAAAGCAGGGCCAATAGGGCCCTTTGGATAGTGATCTTCTAGGCAGGAATTAATTCCAATCTCTATCTACTGTAGAGATGGGAGCTTCTAATATTTTCCCAAATTTAATTCTCATTGGCTCAAAGATAAGGCAGAAAAGAGCTATAGGTGGAAAGTCTTTAATTCTGATGCTGGGTAGAGTTAGAAGCAAGCAGGGGTTGGCTGATCATCTCAATATTTTAAAATAACCAACTGGATGTCAACATAGAGCAAAACTAAATGGTAGGTATGGTCAAGATAGACTTGATAAACAAATTAGATATTTGTACTTGCACATTACTTAGATATTAGACTAAGAAATCCATATAAATATATGTGTACTAATGTTTAGTCAACATACTACATACCTCACTTTGCCTTCATTTCATATCCTCTTCAGTGGATCAGCCATTATCCTTGCTTGCTTGTATTATTGCGGCTTCCTCCTAACTGATCTGTTTCAGTATTGCTCCCCAGTAGTGAGGATCAAGGTAGATCATGAGGCATGAATAGATGCACTGCCATGATATTCTCATTTGTCTGTATACATTTGTCTAGAAATGGAATCACCTATAAATTATTCTTAACTCCTTGTTCTAGTCTCCTAAGTTCAATGATAAAGTTTAGATTCTTCCTTTGCAATTACTTTTACATCCATCCTTTCTTTTTACATTTCTACATATCCCAGTTTAGGCTGTTTCCCAATCCTGCCTGAACTACTGCAATAGCTTCTTTACTGTCCTGCTTATCTCCTGGGTCTCTCCTCACCACCTAAATCTATCCTGCAGAAAATCTTTAGAAAACATCACTTTGACCACAATGCCATTTTTCTATCTGTTAACCTCCAACAGCTCCTGATTGTGTATAGCGACAAATGTCAACACTCCTCAGTCTAATGTTTAAGGCTTTGGGAATCTGGCCCCCTCTAACAGATTTCTATTGCATTTTCATCTATTCTAGTTTTCCAAATCTTCAAATGCATTAAAGTGTTTTCAGGCATTGCCCTCCCCATGCCTCCATGCAGCCCTGTGCTTTCCACCCCCATACTACTGTTCATATGGTTCCCCCTCTTACCTACCCCCTTTTCTGTGCCTTTTCTATCCTCTACGAACATCTCAAATCCCAGATGCTTTTGATCTTGTTTTACTCTTAGTGTGACATCCTCTTCTCTGCCTACCCATCTTTCAAGGCCAACTATAATTTCTACCACATCTTGAAATCTCTCCTAACCATCCTTGCAATTAATCCTTTGTGAAAGGCTACTGTGGGGCATTTAGGTGATAGATATTGTCTGAGCCCTAGGAATCATGGTTGATAAAACATACATAGCTCCTCATTTCCAGGGCAAGGTGTTCTCCTTCTTCTTCATGTGCCTATTGCAGTTAATGCCCAAAGAATTGTCTGTTAACAATGTGATATATTAGGAAATGAATTCTGTTTTGAATTGCCAATTAATTTCTATGATTTAACTTTTTAAGAAATGATTTATGTTTCCCAGTTAGATAGTAAAGACTTTGCCCCCAAATGATCTAGTTTGAGAGAGGGGTACACCATTACATACCAGGCAATGAGGTGCTACTTTTGCTAATGTTTCTTCATAGTGTGACATGGTTAGCAGTCCATTTTCTGGGACACACAAAACTCCTGATTTTACAAATAATATTACTTAGGATAAGAATAAAGTGGATAGTCTCCATTTAAATCTTTTTAAAAGTGAGTTGATTTTAATAAAAAACTAGAGGCCTAGTGCACAGGTCCCTCAGCCTGGCCTGCAGCTCTCCAACATCCCCCAAAGGGTACCGGATTGTAAGAGGGTGCAGGCCAGGCCGAGGGACCCCACCGGTACACAATCGGGGCTGAGGAGGGACTATGGGAGGTTGGCCAGTGGGGGAGGGACCACAGAAGGGTTCCAGGGCTCCAGGGCATGTCTGTCCCATGTTGTCCAGTCCCGATCAGCCAGACCCCAGCAGCAAGCTAACCTTCTGGTTGGAGCGTCTGCCCCCTGGTGGTCAGTTCGCGTCATAGTGACTGGTCGAAGGGTTGAACTAATGGTCGGACACTTAGGCCTTGAAAGATGGGTAGGCAGATGGGTAGGCTTTTATCATATAGGATATTAATAATGGTTATAACAAAATTATGGCAAATCCTATAGAAGTGGTCCTTCAATTACTAAAACAGTGATATATGATATCACATTTATTTCTCACAACAACCTTGCAAATTAGAAACTAAAGTCCAGAGAAACATTGGAACTTATTTAAGTCAGAAAGCTAATGGGTCGTGATGCAGGTTTAGGTGTTGGTACCTAGTTCTCTGACAAAAGCTCTCCAAGTTTCTCCTTTACCACGATGGTCTTTTGCATATAGGAAGATTTCGTGTAATTACTTAACTGTGTGTCTGACTTGTGCTTTTACACCCCACATCATCTCCTCAGAAAGTTTTACTTTCTAAATTAAGTCCTTCACCTCCAGAAATATAAAAGGGGAATCAGAATGAAAGTAGTGTGTTTCTAAGCACATTTATAACACATACAAGGAAAAGGAGCCGATTTCCTGCCTGGCCGAGTGAAACATTAATTCTTCACCTTGGCACCTCAACCCACAGCTGTGATAAGGACCGTTATGCCCAAATAGGCCCTTAAACGGAAGACCTGCTGAGCAGAGACCCACTTTCCCAGCCCTGCTCCAAGGCCGTCAGCTTTTCTGCCAACTGACCAGGCGGAAGCAGCAGCAGGGGAGGAGGGCCTGCAGGTAGGTGAGGAGGGGATCATTTTGAAAGCCCCAAATCCCTCGCAGGGAAGAAGCAGCTGCTCCTTCTTTCTCTAACATCTGTCCCCTCTGTCCCTGGCTGCACGGCACCCTTTGGAGGCTCGAGCCAGCTAAACGTGGGGATGACAAGTAAGCACTTCTGAAGGCCGGTTGGTGCGTGGAAATTAGCATAATTGTCACCAGGAAGTTTCTTCTGTTGGGAAGAGGGCAGTTGGGGTTCTTAAGGAGGATGGTTACCACTTTACTTCATTTTCCTCACAAAATATACAGCTTTAATGATCAAGAGTCGGGATTTGTACGGCCTGAGGATATTATTTCATTAAACAGAGGTACCCTTAGCGCCCAATTTAAAATTTTAACCTCCAGGGGAGCCACAGGCTACTGATTTGGGAAAGAAATAATAATACTGCACACGTTGTACTACCTTTATGGTATACTAAACTGTGCCTATCTCGCACGTGTGGCTTTTATCACAATTAACAGCGTGTTGCTTGCATCTCACTCCCCTGTCAACACGGTGCTCCTCGAGAATGGGGACCTTATTATTATTCAATTATTTTCCCCTCGTGTTCAAAACGCTGTTGTATAACCTGACAAGCATGAAATAGACATTTATAAATGAATGAACGTTAACCAAGAAAATATAAAGGAAGAGGATAATTTATTTGATTCTCCCAAAGCGGCAGTGGAGACTGGGGCCTGACCGTGTCCCTAAGGAAGGCGCAGTCCCAAAGGTCCACAGCTTCTGCTCCCGTCACCGCAGACCCAAGTCCGCCAGCGGGTGCTCCAGCTCCGCCCAAAGCCCGGAGGCGCGGGTCTGCGACGGCTCCGCCCCCAAGGCGCGCGCGGCCACGCCCCCTTCCCGGTCGCTCCCACCGCGACCTGCGTTCCACTCTGTACAAGTTAGGGGCGGGGCCAGGCGGGCGCAGGCGCAATGGGAGGCGGAAGTAGGGACTCGGGAAGAGGGAAAGGAACCTGCAGCGCTTCGCGAAGGGCAACGCGCACAACCTCCCGTCCTCCTCCTCCTCCTCCGGGAAGCTGGGGCGGCTGCACGTGCGGCCTGGCCCAGGCTCCTCCCCTCCCCGCCCCCTGCCCGGGCGTGGCCTCGCGGCTGCGTTCCTCCGTCGCCGAGATGGCGCTCGACCCGGCAGGTACGCGGGCGGGAAGCGGGGGTTGTTGCTGAAGCGTCGGCCTGGGTCTGTAACCGCAGGCCGGCGGGCTGGGGCCGCCCAGGAAAGCTGCTGCTCTGAGGTTGCCCCGCTTCCGCCGACGTCCCCGCCCGCCCAGCCGGCTGCTTGGAGTCTTTGGTCGGTCAGCCCGCGTTCCTTCCCTTCGGCTCCAGGTCGTCTTCTCGCTCCTCGTGGTTAGGGTTAGGTGAAGGCATTGGGTTCTGGTCTAGGCTCTAGTCCATTTGTGGCTTACAAACGTTTTCCTCCTCAACGCGACTGGGTTCTTCATTCTCTTTTTTCGCCCTTTTGAGACACAGTCTCCTTTCCATATCTGTAGCCTAACTTTAAAACATCAATACAAAGGATCTATCCCTGTGGGAAGAGGCAGTTTCTTTGGAAAGATTCACCAGAGTCATCATCAATGTTATCTTAACGTAAATGCTTCCACCCCACTCCCACTTACAACAGTAATTTCCGTTTCCCTCGAATTCCCGCCCTTACAGAAGCTGACCTGTGGTATATTTTAGGCTCTTTATGTAAGAATATAGTAAAGGCAACGTGATTTTTGGAGGAAATAGTGGTTGGTATAATTCATTACGTTCATTTTAAGGGCATGAAAACACAAGGCATTGGGAAGAGAAATGGATTCAAACCTTTGGAGATTCAGAAATGAAAAAAAGTCACTTTGATGGACCTCAAGGAGAAAGAAAAATACGTGTTGCGGACAATAGTTTTATTGACCACTTTATTTATCAAACAATGTATTCTCAATTATCCAACAATAGCGTGGTATGGTAGATACTATGATCTCCGTTTTACAGATTTGGAAACAGGCTGAGAGGATAAAAGAATTTGAAGCATAAAAGAACACATACTGATCATACCAATATTGGGCCAGGGGATTGGGTCAGACTTTATGAAGCAGCTAACAATTGATCTGGGCTTTGAAATATAGAATTTCTAGTGGTTGGGGTTGGTGAAGATGTGGCAGAAGAAGCAGATTTGAATCAGGAAAGTGCACCCTGTGATGTTTGGTTGCAGGGTGAACACTTTGATTTGGCTGGTGGGGGTAGGAGTGTCAGTGAGGAATGAGTATGGAAAGTTCAGATTGGAAAGCAGATGGAGGCCTATGCAGTTCTAGTATTTCCAAGCTGGAAGTGACATTCATAGTAATCTCATACAAATGAGAGAGACTCGGAGGTTAAAGGCTTTTGTATGCCTTTATTTTTGAATTTAGACAGGCAGGGAAATTTAGAAAAAAAATCTTCATACCTGCTGTCTACATTCTTACTGTCCAGAGCAATGGTTCTCAACCTTCTGGCTCTTTAAATACAGTTCCTCATGTTGTGACCCAACCATAAAATTATTTTCATTGCTACTTCATAACTGTAATGTTGCTACTGTTATGAATCGTAATGTAAATATCTGATATGCAGTATGGTCTTAGGCGACCCCTGTGAAAGGGTCGTTCGACCGCCAAAGGGGTCGCGACCCACAGGTTGAGAACCGCTGGTCCAGAGACTCAGCCCACTCCAATCTTGTGCCTTGTTCAAGGCCACGCAGCTAATTGCTGGTGGAGCCAAGTCTAGATAGAACTCAATTTTCTTTCCAGCCCAGTCTTGTAGATGGAGACCCTCCCCCATTTGAGTATTTATTGATTAAACAACTACTTGTTGAGTGCCCAATATATGTCATGTGTTGTCTAGGCCCTAGAAAACTGGTATATAGAACAAACAAAATCCCTGCTTCAAATAGAGCTTGTATTCTGGTGGTAGAAGGAACAAGACAACCACCACTTCCCCACCTTAGACACACACTTGTACGGACTGTGATAAACATTATGAAGAAGATAAGCAGTGTCCTGTGGTAGATGGTGAAGAGAGGGCTATTTTAGATAGTGGTCAATAAAGAACTCTATGAGGAAGTGTCAGTTGCCTTTACTACCCTGGCTGCGGGGACACGCATTGTAGAGGGGTGCTGAGTAGAGGCAGGGAGACCAACTAAGAGATGTTAGAAATTGGCAGGACCTGCTGTTGCTCTGAATAAGGGTGGTGAGGGAAAGGAAGGTATTAAGGATAATTCCTCAGGCTTTTTACTTTAACCACTGGGTGGATGGTAATGGTCAATTAATGACATGATCCCTGGAAACTTAGACCAAAGCGAGGATGGAAGCAAGATTGGCATGGAAAGTTAAGAAAGTGGAGTCAGCAAGAAGAAAGATCTTAGAAAAAAATTCTTTATCTGTTTAAGTTCCAGAATACAAATGTATTGAAGTCAGCTTTTTTAAAAAAACTTTATTTTTATTTGGTTCAGAAGTTGAAGCATAGGCTCACATTTTGGTATTTCCCTTGCTTTTTCACAGTCCACAATGGTATGTGCCCATACTGAGTAGATAGTTAGGCTAAATGAGGTTTATATAACGAATTTGTTTTCCTGTTGGCTTATATTACATTTTTTGAGATCATAAGTTTGATATTCACTTACCAGTAGCTTTTCAGTAACTGTAGAGTCCACTTTTCTCAAGAAACACTGAACCCAATAATGAAATGTAGGTGGCATATTTATTTTTATACATAGTTTTATTTAACCTGTTTTCCTTTATGTTAGCGTAGAGGTAAAAATAGCACTCTTTGTAAGTTTATCATCCATAATTGTGTTCATTATTTTCTCTTACTATCTGATTGCAGAGAGGAAAAGCTGGAGAGAGTCCAAAACACTCAGGAAAAGTGTCTGTAGAAAGACTTTACATTTGAGAAAAATACTAGTGCCTGGGTTGTCCCAGATACTCAGATTTTAATTTGCCCAAGCCTCTGGCATTTAAAAATATTCCGTAGACAATATAATATGCAGAGTAGAGGAGAACCATTGTTTTGAACTCTCCCCGTTTTATTGACTAGTCTTTTGGATTTGTTTTTTTTTATCAGTCTTATCTTCTGATTCCCAGAAGAAATTCTCTGCATCTTTAGCCATAAATTGGACCTGTGATTGCATAGTAATAATTGAGAAATATACAGTATAACTTATTCTGTACTAGGACTTAAACATAGTAAATCTTATTCCAAGTTATAGCTTCTTTACCAAATTATAACCCTTTCTACAAATATTGTATATTTTAAAAAATCTAGTCAAATGTAGGTGATTGAAAATTTAAAAGGTGGTTTATTTTGAATGTATAACTCATGATAATCTCTAGAAACAATATTAAAAGTGGTGCTTGTTAAAGTAGAATTTTCAAAAAGATAAAGTTATTACTCATGCAAATACAAAATGAATACGTGTTGAAGATTTTCTTCAACTTGTTAATTAGTGAGGGAACCAATAAAATGTAAAAAACAGTTCAAAAAATATTTGAGAAGTTAGATACATAGACAATTTCATAGATTGCTGGCTTAGATGAAAACTGGTTTATTTAAAACAGGATCATAAACTATAATCCTTTGGGGCTTTCTCTTCCACTGGTCAAAAATTATTTCTATCTCTGTTTGACATCTAGAAGTTAAACTGCCCCTTAACAAGTTGTAAAAAACCTCAGTAATGGAAAGTCAAGCCCAGTGCTAGTCCTGAAAGACCATCCTGTTAGGCCTTTGCTATTTTCAGATTCCCGATAAATATTCTAGCATGATTATATACCAGGATGACAACTCACAGGAATCCGCCTGGTAATTTTGATTTCTGACTTTCTTTAATAACTAGAAGAGACTCCTTCTCCCTTTTCCTACCACCTCTCCTTTAGGGTAAGAAGTTTCCCTTCCCCCTTCAGTTAATGTGGATTTATTTTCTACTTTTGCACAGTAGGGCAGTGGCAGCATGAGAAGTTTCCTTAAATCAATGTGTGTGTGTGTGTGTGTGTGTGTCCCCGTGTTCTCATCTGTGTGTCCGTCCCTGTCCTTCCATTGGTGTTTTAACCCAGAAATCTAATCAGGGGAGGAGGATGGGACAGTGATAGCGCTCAGGGGGTAGACATGGGATCAGAGATTTTATGACATTGTATTAGTAGATGTTTAACATATATGTATCTTGAGAAGATGTCATTCTGGAGGCTTTTGGAGTCTGGATTGCAGGAGTTCTTTCAGTGGTTCCAATGGGGATGTGGGTAGATTAGCATTACGGGTACAGCACTTATATTTACTGGAAATTTAAATTTTTTGAGTTAGACATCTAAACAGATTTGAAGATTTTTTTTGAGCATTATGTGATTAATATGTTACATCATTGATTAGAAAAATTTTGATTTTATTATTGCTGCTATCCACAGGATTTTCTTAGACATACATTGTATTCGTAAAACTAAAAATCTGGTTAACTTCTACATTTTGTAAATTTCTAAACTCAAAGTATGTTTGTACTAGAAAATACATTGTTTTTCTCACTAGATTAATTTAACAACCTCTAAGCAGCTGTTCTCAACCTGTGGGTCGCAACCCCTGAAAATCCTGCATATGAGATATTTACATTACAATTCATAACAGTAGCAAAATTACAGTTATGAAGTAGCAACAAAAATAATTTTATGGTTGGGGGTCACCACAACATGAGGAACTATATTAAAGGGTTGCGGCATTAGGAAGGTTGAGAACCACTGCATGGGTTGTTCACTGAAAGTTGAAAAACATTAGCTTATGCAAAAAGTACAAGAAAGAGTTGATATCAAAGAGAAGTGTGCCGTGGCATTGGAGGGGTTGTCAATTATGGTATCTCCTGTAAACCATTTTAAGGAGTTTGAATTTTATTCTAAGAACAGTGGGAAGACATTGCAAGTTTTTAGGTAAGGGGTGACATGTAGAACTTTCTTCTTTTTGTGTTGATTGACTTTTGATTAGATAGAGGTTATGCATTCTCAGCAAATACTGCCTAAGTGGTGTGTTTTTCTCAGGGTATCATATCTGGAGAAACATGATGTGTCTCTGTCTCTCAAAGGTGGTATGAATTTTGATCATGTAATCAAGGTCTCGTCCCCCTTTTTTTGCTATGTTTTTCCTCTC